CTGTACGTACAAATACATGTTTGTATGAATAAATATTAATTTACAGAATGTTAATAAAGAGTCACAAATTAATATTATTTAACCAAATAAATATATAGAATATAAAAATATATACGTGCGTATGTGCGTGTATATACCTACGATGTACGATACAAATCACATTCTGTTGATATTCTAGTATATAAACAGAGTATCCTCAGTATATACCATTGATATACGTGTATTTTCAGCACATACTATAATATACATATATGAGAAAAAGCGGACATTAGTGCATTCTCAGTACGTACTCAGTACATCATACAACATATTCGAAAGTTATGAGAATATAGGTAACGTACTGTTGTGATATTCTCAAAACTTTCTCAGTATCTACATGTGCTGTGTGGGTAAGCATTAAGGTACTTAGACATATTTTAAGCACAAAGAAACAATTATTTTAAATAAAAGTCTGTTTACTTTTTGGAATTTGTATAGTCAATTGCGAAAAGATTATTTGTTTTACAATTATTTAATGATCTTTAATCTTTTCATCGTTGGCTACCAATATATTTACACGGACAATTATTATTATTTTAATATTATAATATAATTGCAATACTTTGTACATGTTGAATATGTCATTTACGTTTCAGCTATTTGATACGTTATGGTGGATAATTTGCCTGAAAATGTTTGATTACATTGAAACTTGTATATTTGTATTGCGAAAGAAACCAAACCAGGTCTCTTATTTGCACGTGCATCATCATATATCTAATGTGATATTCTGTTGGCATTATTTGAAATACGTTTTGGATGTTAGGTGTACATATTTTACTTTGCTCAATTGTATCGTGCATGTAATCATGTACATATACTATTTTATTTCTGCATGGAGTCCCAATCTCCAACGGATAATATCTTCCTTTAAACCATTTCTAACTGTGGTACAGATGGTAAGTATCAATACAGCATTTTCTAATTAAATTATTCATGTGATATTATCATGTCCTGGGAAAAAATGCAAAATCTCATTATACAGGGTGTCTCATTTTTAATGATCCACGCATATATCTCCAAAAATATAAAAGATACGGAAAAACGTTTCAAACAAAAGTTGTTTGGTTCGAAGGGGGATATAAGGTCGTGCCATTGACTTGACATTGGATAATCATTTAAAGGTTATGTGAAGGTCACCTTAATTTTTTAAATAAACCCCCTATTGTTTATTATACTATCGTATTCTACAAATTAATATGAACAACTTTTGTCTGAATCATTTTTTATTTGCCTAATATTTTTTTAGATATTCAAGAGAAAATTTATGACTTTTTCAATGTTTAACTTATGATATCTCGATGGATATCTTTGTTTTATCTCCCCCCTCCCTTCCAAAGTATCTTCTCTACAAAAGTAATGATATCATCAAATGGCGCCAACTAAACTAAATATTTATACCAACTAGGTACTTTATTATTTTTTATACTAGAATGTCCAAACAATATCAAGTATAAAATTTTATCAGAAGAAATAAAGGAAATAATAATAATATTAATAATAATATTAATGAGACAAAGTTTTAATACTTATTCAATAATGCAAACAAATTTAATACAACATTATTGTTTATTAAAAGAACCTGGCGCTACTAAACCACTGAAGTATACAATCTAAACTTACAATTAATTGTAATCCCTAATCCATAACACACGCGGGCGTGCGCGTATGCGCAAGCGTGTGTACAAAAGAAAGAAAGAGTTTAACACTTTAGTAAGAAAGGAGGAAGAGCGCAATTAACATTGGGTTTAGCAGCACCAAGTTTTTTTAATAAACAATAATGTCATGAATCAGGATCAATATGTATCTCACAATTAAATTCGAAAAGGCGATCTTTTAATGAAATATTTAGTTGTATTAAATTTGTTTGCATTATTGAATAAATATTAAAAATTTGTCTCATTAATATTATTATTAATATTATAATATTATTATTTCTTTTATTTCTTCCGATAAAATTTTATGCTTGATATTGTTTGGATATAATATTCTAGTATAAAAAATAATAAAGTACCTACCTAGTTTGTATAAATATTCAGTTTAATTGGCGCCATTTTATAATATCATTACTTTTGTAGAGAAGATATAATATTTTGGAAGGAGAGGGAGGAGATAAAACAAATATATTCAAATAATTAAATTATACAGGGTGTGTCCTAATTCCCGGATGTCCCGTAGATGGTAGATAGACCGGGGCAAACTGAATAGAAAATTCCTATAACATTTTGCAAAATTCGTAATAGTTATCGAGAAATTAATTTTAATGTCTGAGCGAATGAGAGCGTAGAAGACGGCTGGCGGGACTCGGCAGGGGCAAGGGGCGAGAGCCGAGGGTCGAGCGGAAGCTCTCCGCTCGCTGCGTGACAACTCTTTTCGGCGCGCCGCTCCACCTCTCGCTATTAGACGATGTCCCACCGTTGCCTGCCGAGTACGGGCCTACCGCCTTCTACGTTCTCATTCGCTCAGACATTAAAATTAATTTCTCGATAACTATTGCGAATTTTGCAAAATGTTATAGGACTTTTCTATTCAGTTTGCCCCGGTCTATCTACGGGACATCCGGGAATTAGGACATACCCTGTATATAATAATTCTTGATTGGAAGACTCTTATACTTGGTGCCTTTTTCAAATTTTTTTTATTAAAAAAGGTTATTTTTTAAGATAATATCACCAATTTTGTAGTTTTAATTACACTGATCTTGGTGAAACATCAGTTTTTTCCGTGTACATATCAACATTCGTATGTACACTAGGACCGGTATTCACAGTCAGATCTTATGGTAGTTATAACTATCTACATAACATTAGGTTGAGCAGCGCCAAGTTATTGTAATTTAAAATAAAATATTTATTTGTATTAAATTGTCTAAATGATATTTTTATGTATTAAAAAGAGTAAGATGTTCCCCAAGAGTAAGATGATCCCGAGGTGCAAAGTTATCGCGCGTGTCTCGAGCACTACAACCAACCATGGCAGGAAACGCACATCAACGGTCCACCGCCGCTCGTTAAAGATTGCGCTCAATGTCAAAGCAAGCGAAACGAATAGGTGCCGGTCTGTTGAACAGTGCGATAAACGTGCTTCCTTTCAAACTGCATGTGCCCGGTTATCAATTTTGTGGACCTGGAACTCGTCTCGCCGAATGATTGCAGCGCGGTGAGCGTGGGGTGAATCCGTTGGACGCGGCGTGCCGCGAGCACGACATTGCGTACTCGCGAAGCGGTAAACTCATCGATCGTCACGTCGTCGATCGAGTCCTCGCTGAGAAAGCGCGCGATCATATCACAGCGAGAGACGCGACCCTTGACGAGAGAGTCGCGGCGATCGCTGTATGGGGCGCTATGAAGGTAAAAACGAAATGAGGATCCGGCAACGACAGACTAAGGACAGATGGCAGCACCGAGATGCCGACCTAACGTCGGATTGACTGCTGCAGCGGCAACGCGCGCGTTGCAAGTTTTTTCACGTTTTACAGTTATCACCCATCTTTTCCTTCTCTCTGGGTCTTTTGGAAACTCGTGTCCACCCATATTAGAACTTTTAAACACGCTGCACATAGGCATTTTGTCGAACAACGGCGTTAGCTCCAACAGTTCCGTAATTGCTTGTACGGCCTAGCAGACGCGGCTTAGGTCGGCAGCTCCTTAGCGCTCCTAGCGGACGAAAGTGGCTGCCCGGATCCTCATTGGGAATGGGTATGAAGAGAGGAAGGAAAACGAGGGGGAGGAAGAGGACGAAGAGAGTATTGCTAACGGCGAAACGCGGAGGCTTATTGCCCATTCTGCCAATGCTAGGGGTACTTGGTTCCTTGATTGGTGGAGCCGCCGGTGTAGCGAAGGCGGTGAACGACAACAAAGCCGCACGAGGCCAGTTAGAGGAGTTGCAACGTCACAATCGGACGATGGAGGTCGCGGACTGTACCTCGCACCGTACAAAAAACACGGAGATGGTTGTGGTGGGAAAAGAAAAAAAAAACGTGAACGGAGACACTAGAGGCGCTCGATTTACCGATGTTTCACGTCACGACGAGCAGACAATTGAGTCGAGCGGCGCGTAAACTACGCATACCTCACTTTAGAAGGGTGTTCATGCGTGACGGTTTACCCATGAAAGCGCGACGTGAGGAGTGCGGCATCGTAATCTCGATGACAAGGTGGGTCCGGGTACGCATTGGGTTGCCTATGTGAAAAAGGCGAACGATGTTGTATACTTTGACAGTTTTGGACATCTTCAACCTCCGCGAGAACTCGCGCGATATCTAGGGGACCGCAACATAACGTACAATCATCAATCGTATCAAACGTTCAGTTAAACTTTCTGCGGTCAGTTGTGCCTGTGGTTTCTTTATGAATTCGATTGGACGCGTCCTGGACAAAACTTTAAACACATTCGAGATAAACCTCAGTCGACTCGACCATCATGTCGCTGACGCTCACACTGACGGGAACGAGCGACGTTCTCATCACGAGCTATTTTCCTGCTCTCGATCTCAGTGACGGTGAATACGAGTTCGGCCTTGCAAATTTCGAGACCTACAACGCGATACCAAACGTTAATTCGACGATCGATACATTTTATTTTGGGGCCAACGACGAAACGATCATCATTCCCGAAGGATCGTATGAATTGCGCGCAATCGAAAGGTATCTCAAGGCCGCGATTATCGACAGACGACAACGCGACGGCTGGAAAGGTCAAAGGATGACGATGAAGACCTCAACGAGTATCGCGTGTACGACAACGATGATTACGACGAGGAGAAGGAAAACCAATATACGAGGTCTGTTCAAAAAGTATCGCGAATTTTGTGTTTTTTCAAAAATTATTTATTTATTCATGAATATCTATGTTGTCCCCTTCAAAGTAATTCCCATCAGATATTATACACTTGTGCCAACGTTTTTCCAATCTTCGAAGCACTTCAAAAAATCCTTTTTTGTGATCTTGTTCAGCTCCTCCTTCGATGCCGTCTTCATCTCCTCAATCGTGGCGTAGCGTCGTCCTTTCATGGGCCTCTTCAGTTTCGGGAACAAGAAAAAGTCACAGGGGGCCAGGTCTGGGGAATACGGTGGCTGCGGCATCATTAGTGTGTTGTTTTTGGCCAAAATTCGCGCACAAGCAACGATGATTTTTGGTCGAAAGTGAGCAATTTTGGTACGAATTTCGCGGCGACCCGTCTCATGCCCAAATCATTGGTAAAAATCGAATGGCACGAGCCAATCGATATGTTTAGGTCCTCAGCAACTTCTCTAACGGTGATTCGACGATTGGCCAATACTATTTTCTTCACTTCATCAATGTTTTCGTCTGTTATTGACGTGCTCGGGCGTCCGGCACGCTCTTCGTCGTTCACATCTTCTCGGCCCTCTGAGAACATTTTGTTCCAACGATAAACGTTGCTTTGGTTCAAGGTAGCTTCACCATATGCCACAGTCAACATTCGGAATGCGTCCGCGCACTTACTTTTGTTTTTCACACAAAATTTGATACATATTGTTACGTTCCGCGTGCGTCCTCGCACACTCCGGTCGCCGCGTCTCCGCGCACTCCGACCGCGAACTCAGTTCTCGAGAGTGCCCGGCACTCTTTCGCGCACGTACGCGTCAAAGAGACACACCAAAATGAGAAGAACAAGAACAGTGGAACTTTATTAGAATTACTACACGTCCAGACGGCTCGAGAGCCAAGCTTCCAATCAATCGATAATGTTTATACACAACAGTTGCTCATCGGTATCGTGGCAACCCGCCACGATACCGGGCGCCGCTTTCCATCGAGGGCCGGAATCTTCGCGAGTGTAACAATATTCTTTGATCCATTTCTTGGAATAGGCAAAAATCGAAGACGAGCCAAAACACCAAGCAAAATAGCTGTCAAAAATTAACTGAACATTCAAAATGGCCGAAATTGTGAGCATGAGTGAGGGACATGAGTACCAACATAACGCCACAAAAAAATCGAAAATCGAATATAAGTAGCCCGCGGAAATTCAAAATTCGTGATACTTTTTGAACAGACCTCGTACTATCATTCTTCGTGCCAATGAAAATAACATGAGGACCGAGATAAAATGTGCTTACAGAGTAAATTTTACAAAACCAAACAATATTGACTCCTTATTGGGTTTCTCGACAACGCGTGTATTGAAACCAAACAAATGGTACGTGTCTGACCAACCGATAAATATCATGAGTGTCAACGTCATACGTGTGGAATGCAACATTACCGCGGGGGCTTACAACAACGACAAACCGGTACACACGATATATGAGTTCGTGCCGAGTGTTCCACCGGGATATAAGGTGTTGGAAACGCCGACGCAGATCATTTACCTACCAGTCATCGTGAGGAGTATTACCGATAACACTGCGAGTGGTGGATCAAAACGGTCATCCGATTAATTTTTGCGGGGAGGAAATAACAATACGATTGCATGTGAGAAAACACGTAGCGTGAGATATGGTCGTTGTTGGTGATTCGCGCGTGAAAAACGAGTCTGTTCCCTACGTTGAAAGAAAAGGAGGAGGAGGAGAAGGAGGGAACGGAAATTAGTTGAGCGCTGCGAACGTCGCGTTCCTGCGATCGCTCGGTTTCATTGTGAGAAACAATAATTATGGTGGTCGACATCCGGAGGTGAGCCGCTTTTCGACGAGCGCATCGTCAAAATCGAAACTCACGCGTACAACCCCTACGCTAGAGTCCCTGTAGTAAGAGTCTGGCAAGAAATATTCTCCGTTTGATAGATTTGACGCAAAATGGCGGAACCAATAAGGTGTCTCGAATCTGTACTCTGAAAGCGGTATTATTATTATTATTATTATTTGGTTACCTTTGGTCTGTTCGTTATCGCTGCATTACTGCACTAGTGCAATTAACTAACCGCACTAGTGCAGTAATGCAGCGATAACGAACAGACCAGACGCCATTTTGCGTCAAACCTTGCCAGACTCTTACTACAGGGACTCTACCCTACGCCAATGCAACGTTCGGATACAGCGATGAACAACGAATACCCATACAACAGCAGGATCTGTACACTCTACCGTGTGAAAGCGCTCTATATGTGGAGGGAAAATTGTCCGTTGAGGCATGTCGATGTCGGACGATGAATCAGACGTCAAAACTTGCGAGCAACTGCGTCAAGTTCATGTTCGAGGAGATACGTTACGAGCTCAATGGCGTAGAGATCGATAGAAATCGCAACGTTGGAATAACCAACACGATTAAGAATTACGTTTCGTTGACCTCACGCGAGCTCGATATATTGCAGAACGCTGGATGGGGTGAGCCACGTTTCCGATAGCGGTTCTTTCAGCCTGTGTGTCCCCATGAAAATATTATTAGGCTTTTGCGAGGATTACAAACGCGTAGTGGTAAACGCTCGACATGAACTTATTTTGATACGCGCGCGCAACGATCACAATTGCATCGTGGCAAAAGCGAGTGCTAAAAATCCTAAAATCGTTCTTTCGAGGGTGCAAGGCGAATGCCGCACATTGTGTTGAACGATGTTAACAAATTGTCGCTTCTAAGAACGCTGGAGAGCGGACGATTTTTAAGCGTCGGATTTCGCTCGTGGGATCTGTACGAATTTCCTTTGCTGCAGAGCACGACCAAGCACCCATGAGCTGTGAAAACTGCGGCGCAACTAGAGAAACCGCGATACGTATCTTTGCGCTACAGACAGGAAGAAGAAACGTTTTGACAAGCGATTCCTCGACCTTCGATTATTGCAAGCTAACCAACGTAAAACTGTATTTGAATTCAGACTTTTATCCCTATGACGACATGAATCTTGATATAGATAACAATAAATTTGCTGTACTGTACGACATGTATGCAAAATTTCAAAAATCGTACTATGGGCGAAAACTCGACGATGCGTATCTAAACGTAAAATCATTCATAACATCCGGCCCATTCGTGGTGATCGATTGCTCTCGTCAGAACGAGGCGGTGAAAAGCGCCACTGTGAACGTTCGCGTAGAGTTCGAATGCAAGGAAAACGTTCCAGCCGACACCACAGCGTATTGTCTTATCATTCATGACCGAATCATCGAGGACAGTCCCTTGACAAAGAAGAACGGTATAAAAAGAAGCCGTCTCGCACGACGGTGCTGAAAAGTCGTTCAGATCGCTCCGCACAATGTCACACGTGCCTGTCTTCATCGACCTCCAGGGCTTCGTCGTTCATGAAAAATTCATCGTAAAGGAGGTAGCCGTGCTGCGAGACAAACATGTGTTAACGCATCATGTTTTTAAAGCACCGATGGCCTGGGATCTATTAACGAGATCCGAAAAATCTCAAGCTTGCTGGCTAACGGCGAATCATCACGGATTGCACTGGAAGGATGGAGACGTTCAATACGTGCGCTCCAGAGAGATCATACGGCGAGCCCGTGTGACGGATTGGCGGACGATGCGACGATCTACGTCAAAGGGCTCCAGAAGAAGAAGTGGCTCGAGGAGATTCTCGACGGTTGCGCCCACAATATCCAGTCCATCGACGCTGATTACGATGACATCGACCGTCTGGAGTTTTTGACCGCGGCCAATTCGTTTCGATGCAGACGCCACATCGAACACTGTGCGATAACGAACTTTACCAAATTGCGCGATTGGTGGATAGAACGACAAACAGCTCTCGACACATTGGTGTAAAAATATGTATTATTCATATTTTTAATTGCAAAAAATATATACTATTAAATGTGTATCATGTTTTAATTATTATCTTTCCTAATCCTCGGATTATCTTTGCGGTTGTTTAAACCACACGTCTGTCGCTTAGCTTCTGCGCGCATCGCCAGCATAGTCAGTACGAATTCAATCTTCGTGCAGTATAGATTAAAAAAAACGAAAGTTAAGTGAAGCGGATTAAACGTTTTGAGGTAAGCAAGTTTGTCTCAAATGTAATAATCTCACTTCGATCCGATTAACGTAGGCTTATCTATCTCATAACCTCCGCTTTCTCCAGCCCTACCGTACATAACAATAAAACCTCCGACCACTCTTGAGGAAAGCGAAAGACCCATTGACGGAGTGCGACCGCAGGATAACGAAGACCGGTATCACCTACTCCTGCGGAGCAGCTGTTTCGTGCAATCGGTCGATGGACCTATTTACGTATCACGAGTGTTCCCATGATATAACATGTGAAAGGAGTGTTACTTTTCACGACCAATCAGAGGTGTAAACCCCTACGTCAGGAAAACCGAGTATCACACAATTACCTCGCGCTTATACCGACTATCGTGGAAGGAAAAAATTTGTTGTGTGCGGTGTGACGGGAATTGGTTCGCCTGCAAAGGGCGATTCAGTGTAGACAGTGTATAGAGGAGTATTGAGAGAGTGAGAACAATATTTTAATAAGAGATAATGTAAATATGAACTATGAGGCGGAAACGATAAAACGGTATTAAGTAAAATATTCCTCCATACTCATTCAAACTTCACGCGCATTTCAGCCGCGTATCAAACTCCATCGGATCACGTGATTCTATTCGTTGACGATAAAATTTATAAAGTCAATTATCCCGACTTCACGCTAGTGCCAACTTGGCCGAGAACTTTCCGAGACTTTGGAATTCCTATGAATGCGAAAATAAACGCTGCCGTAAATACGAACAAAGGAAAGTCTTACGTGTTGTACGGCGGATATCTCGTCGGTGATAGACGACTGCTCCGACAGCATTAGCAAATTTCGCACCATTGAGTCCACCTTTCCAGGCATACCAAACGGAGTGATGTCAATCTTCAGATACCTCGACGGTAATCTATATTTCGCGACGTTGCACGTGCGAAGTGTGTGAAAAAAAGTAAGTGCTTGAAGCGTAAAAAGTATTATGGAGCAATTATATGGCCTAATGTTGCTTACTGACACCGTGAGTCATGAAATGGCTGAGCTCGCGACAACCCTGGAGACTCTATCGTCGACCGTACGCGACATGTATGTACAAGGACTTGGAAAAATTGAAGAAGAGTCTTCCGAAATTTGTAACGATGGATGTTAATTTGCATGTGCACGATAAACCTGTAACTACATTGTAAGTATATATTGTTGTAAGTTAATGTAACACACACACATACACAGTTGCGTTAGAGTGTGTATATCTTTTACAGAAAAGAGATTCTGAGCTTTGCAAAAGATTTGTCCAGACCCGTGGACGAGTACGCAAAAAGAATGATGGAGATTTACGAGGAGCTACACGCTTCGAAAAGTATGTCGGAAATCAGCGAGGAGATCAGAAATACGAATGGGACGTCTGAAGATAACGGAGAGACGCAGAGTGTGGTTAAGAAAATAAGGAAAAATTGAGAGAGACGCAGAGTGTGTGCCAAAAATGCGGAAAAAGAGGACACTACGGGCGAGACTGTCGCAGCAGCCGGTACGCCAACCGATTCGCCTTACCGAAACCGGAGGGACGACCAAAGATTAATACCATCGAAAAATATTGCAACTATTGCAAAAAAAGGCAGGGCATGTTCGTAGCGAGTGCTGGT